TACGACAGCACTTCAAAAAAAGTTACTTCCGCTAACGATATGATACTATAAAATCATCGAACGAAAATTGTCGGTTTTGGTCAAAACATTTTGAAACTATTTCCCTGTTTGGTTTTAAATGATTTACTTTATAAAAATTTAAAAATTCTACGTTATACTTAAGGAAAATATTAAAAAATATCAAATTTATAAAAATATTATTTAAATGGATCAATTATTTATTTAAATAAGATTATTAACTAAACAAAATGACTTAAAGTTTTTTTTAATTTCAATTTAATCTTGTTAGTTCTGAAATGTAATTTAGATTTTTTATTCCATAATTTTAAGTGTTCATTTTTACGTAAAAGATTTACGATGCGTACAAAATATCTACCCAACATTTGTACAAAAACCCTACCAAAAACTATTTTTTACCTATGAATATGAATTAATAGAATAAATAAACATTTTTCTAAGTGCACAATCTACATTCCCACCCCTTTGGACTTCCTGTTCGAAGACTGTCTCATAAGCCATGGTATAAGGTTGAGTGGTGCGAGGGGGCTTGCCTAAATAATTGTGACATTGGCACGTCAGCATCGTGCAACGCGCGTCGAGTGTTGCATGATTTTAAGTACACCCCTTGCCCCCCACTTTCACCCCATTCACCCCTCAATTTCAAGGACTCATCGCCGGCGTCGATGCATGTCATTTGCTGGCAGATTGACAAACTTTGGTGCGTTCTTCAGGGCGTGAGTGTGATGAATATGGAGAGCGTCAGCGTGTAATGTCAACTTGCAACTTGCACTGATGCCAAGCAATTTCAATTGACGACACGAACGACGGCAATTGCCGGCTTTAAAGGGATAAGGCAACATAATGATGGAGCATAAGGTTTGCCGGAATTGTCATAAAAACGGTTTGGCATCCTGGCAGTCGTAAAATCTTAACTCCACAGTGAAGATAGTTATAATTGCAAAGCGGGAGTTGTTAAACTTGATGTCGATAAAAAATGTCAAACCACAAAATGGAGAAAACATTGGAAGAACTGCTGTCAAAATTTAGACTTTAGAAATAACAAAGAACTAGTTAAGAAAGCTCAACAACTTGCATTAATGTTTTATGCGTACGTTTTTAATAATTCGAATTTCTCCAATAAAAAAATTAAAGATTATTTTCCAAATATATGCCAAGATATTATTCCAATTAATGTATAATTTATACAATTATTTAGCCACTAAGACTGTATTACTTTAGATTTTATATACCACAGATCTAACTTACATTAAACAAAAAAGTTACAATAAAAAATCATCTAATTTTGCGCCAAGTTGTTTTACAAAATAAATCTTACAGACATTTCCTAAGAAAAGACAAACATTGGCATCACTGTTTTTTTAGGGTTATCCAACTGACATTTATGCAAATCGAAATTCGGATTAACAACGTCAGCAGTCAAGGGGTGTAATGTTAAATATAAAATTTACTATACCAGCTGTTGCCGATTGTCGTCGTTCGGTCGGCTATGGAATTTAAGCTCTGCAAATATGCATTTAACACACTTCGGCGTGTCGAGATGCGGCAACAGTCTGCCCGACGTACCATATATATGTACGTATGTATAAATAAAAATTGCCAGCAGCTGTTGGACGGTGGGATTGGGTTTGAATGGTGAAGGATGGAATGGATGGTTTGGGTTGGTCATGGTATGGATGGTATGGGATGGTTGGATGACTGGTTGGGACATCGGACATGGGCCATGTGCAGTGCGGCATTTTGAGGAGCATATGAAAAGTTTGGCTCCCATGTTGTCGCATGGAATTTATGATGAATTTTCCAACTCGACGCATATTGCAGAACATTTTTGGGTCCGTTCGGCCTAGGCCTGATTCATCCTGCCCGCTTTTGGGGGCCTTCTACCATGAACTGCAACCACAGCAGCCGCAACGCAGGCAGATCCAGAACCAGAAACCGGGCAGCATTTGGTCCATGGCTTGTTCCTGGCTTTCTCTTTCTCTCTTTCCCTTTTTTTTTTTGTTTTTAACTGAATCCAAACGCAATCCCCCAGTCTCGCCCAGCTTTTGATGTTGCCAGTTTGGCCCGTTGTGCTCGGTTGTTCGGCCACATGACGTAGTAGTAGTCGCCGTCGTCCTCATCGTTTTCGTCCTGCATTCAGAGTCCGGAGCACGGCGTCCTGAATCCAGGAGCTGCCCAAGGGTGCGTATTCTGAAATTGTTTTAGTGCTGTTAGAAAATTTTGAATGCGATTTGACATGTATAAAGCAGTGAGTGCGGAAAGGCCAACGGCGTTACTGCCGCTAACAAATTCTGTTAGAATGAAAACGGAGAAACCATTTCGCACCGGAATTATGCACTTGTGTAACTTTGTTTTTTAAAATCTTTTTGAATGCTGAAATGATTTCAGGAAAAACAAATAATTAGCCACCGAGTACACTAATAAAAGGTGGTAATCAAATATTTTTATGCATATTTTTGTTAATTTACTGAATGAAATGTACTTACTTTTTTACTTTTATTTTGAGCAAATAGGATTTCATGCTTAAATTTCTCAGATATTTGTTAGCCATTTTTGTAAATAGCTATACGAATTTCTAAACGTATGTTGCCTTATTTTATAGCGCGTTTAAATCAAGTATATTTTTTATCCTTGGTGATATTTTCATCCCATATTCGCAACCATAAAAAAGTTTTTGGTCTCTTAAGCTTTAATTCATATTATGCTAATTGATCTCCGTTGATATGCTGAACAACCCATACAATGGAAGAGAGACAGACATTGGTTTGACTGCAGCTAGGACTAAAAAAGAAAAATTAACTGTTTGATGGTTTGGAAAGTATTGGTTATCTGAAAAGAATTGTAGGGGAATGGCTGATTTATCAACAATGCGAAATAGCACTAATCAGGTTATGAAGGAGTTTCTCCTTCTTCTGAAATATGGAAGAAAGAGCCTATCCCATAATATATTTTATACATTGATAGTTTAATTATAAAAAGAATATGGCAAACCACTATTTCGTGTATAACAATAGCTAAAACAAAAATTATGATCATGTATCGTATTAACATAAAAAAAACAAATAATACAATAAAAGCTTTTAAGATTTAGCACATAATAAATATAATACTGCCAATTTGCAAAACCTAATCTGCTTGATTATTCCGCTCGTTTTCGAGAGTCCATCTCCCCCATATTATTATGCCATTGAACAGGCCATAATCATAATCATAGCATTTATCTAATATGCCAGCGAAAATATTTGCCCATTTAATAAGGGAGCACGATGCCTGTGGCGGCCATTGACTACAGTCGATTCAAAGAGCTACCCAAAACCCCAATCCCTAAACCCAAATGCCAGCAAAAAAATGAAGCTGAAATTCGAACGATGCCGAGCGCAAACAAGTCGCAAATTGAATTGATTGGCGGGTAAACAAGTGCCGACCCGGATGCCACGCCCCAACAAAAAATAGTAGGCGAGTAAACAGATCCCAGAGCAGAACATAACCAGAATCTCTAACCAGAAACGGAGGCCATGGCTAAAAACCACAAGCCCTAATTGAGCGTGAACATAGAGGGCATAATGCGCGGCCCGAAAGAGCGGACTTCAATTTTGATAAGAAGAAGCTCCAAGCTGGGAACTGCGAAATTTGCAATTAGCCCCCGCCGAAATGTGAAATGGCCAGGCAAATTGTCAAAGAGCCGGTGAAATTGTTTACAAACCAATTACAAAACTGCGAGGCTCAGACAATGGGCAATGGGCAACAGAGATTTCCAGTTGGCTTGTGCTCCCGCAACTTGTGACCTTTGAACCCGAAAACTCAACTTCTCCTTTTTCGGCCCTTCAGGCACAGCTGCTCGAAAGTAAAATCCAGCGGAGCGCCAAAAATTGCGTTATCTTAATGAGTTTAAACGTTAATCAGGCAAAGCCAAGCCACCGAAAAATCGCGGGAGGATGCGGAAATGTTGGCCATTTTGCTAGCCACCTCAGTGGACCAAAAAGGAAAAAAAGCACGAATGAGAAGACCAAATTGCCAACTGCGGCAAACGGAAGTCGAAGGAGAGTCAGGCCAAAGTCCAAAGTCCAAAGTCCGAGGCGGCACGGATGCATATTAAATTAATAATTTGACCTCATCCTGTGTGACTGCCACAAGCTAGCAAACTCGGCCAAAACGAGAGACTCTGGGCTAATTTCTGCATCCGCCCGACAAGATTTTTGTTTGCTGATTGCGACAAGGACAACATGGATGCGGGGGCCATGTTGCGCTAATGTTTCACCCGAGACCGGGGGACCCCAGCCAGGTTCAGATTCCAGCTTTCCCTGTAAAACGGTCCCCGACACCGAGTAACCGAGAGATAAACAATTAAAAACTTTTGCAATTTGCGGTAATTCCACTCTTAACCCCTTTGGACGCCAAGTGCGCATAACAAGTAGTTGTGGCGTGGGATTACGAATAGTTCACCGAGAATAAAATTGGTCTGAGACTTAAACATATGTTTCTATCCATGACATCTTGTAAAATAATGGGTTCTATAAAGAGGTATAGGAGTTTGTAATGCAATCTTTATGTAAAAAAAATGTTATTTTTGGGATGAAATTAAGACCACTTGAAATAATCTTTCAATTCTTATTTTTATAAAATTTTTAAAAGTTACTTATAGAATAGGTTTTCTTAGGAGCCAAATTTTTAATAAGGCTTCACTGACTAACAGTATTATTACATTTTGTAATATTCAGTTACAAGCTTTCATTTTACTTGAGGTAAATTGTTTCTCTCTGTGCTTCTGATAAGTAGGTTCTCTTCGATATCTTATCTCAATTTCTTATACAGCTAATTTGACTGATAAGGCGCAAAAGTTTTAACTCCGTTTAAGTTCGTTGCAGTAATGTCATTTGTTGTTGATTTTGCGCACGTTTTCAGCTTATCAATTAAAATTAAAACTGAGTGCAAAAATTAATCACGCGGCCCTTCGTTGGTGGTCGATTCTATAAATAGTGAAGGCATAAACGAATCTGACCACAAACAAGGCTAACCGTCTAAAGACTTCAAGGAAATAATAACAAGAATTCCAATAATGGCTTGCAAAGGTTGCGGAGCTAGTAAGTCAAAATAAATATTATTTATTTAAAATGATGTATAAAATAAAATATTTTAACTTTATAGACTGCAAATGCACGGACAGCAAGTGCGGCGACAACTGTTCCTGCAACAAGGACTGCAAGTGCGTTTGCAAAAATGGACCAAAGGATCAGTGCTGCAAGAACAAGTAGATTAATCGATTGATCAAATTAAAAAACCAATAAATAAATGTTGGTCCCTAAACCTCTAGCAAAAAACACATATCACTTGCCCACTGAATGTCTGTCAGAAATGATATTCGCTTAATTACAATTTGGTGTGCCATGCTAAAAATGTTCAAAACATACACACACATGTCGAGGACAAATATTTACCATGGCATTATGGCGTATGTGGCCCAGAGGCCAAGTCCTCTTCTGGCCAAGTGTCACACATTTGGCCAGGGTCGCATTGCAAAATGCGCAATTATTGCATTTGTGGCGCGTGGCAGGCGGCAATTGCATGGTTGCAAAATTTATGCGGTCTCATTTGGAGCGGCGACGAGGACACGACTCGAAATTGTGACACTTGTAAGTGAGCGTAAAATAATTTCACGCATTAAGTATACGCAACGGGGGTCCCACAACAATGCGGCTGCCATTAGGAGTGCAATTGTTTAAGCAATTAATTAGCACTCTTCGCAGAGAAATGGCCACAGAATCAGAACAAACAAAAAGAAAAAAAAAACAGTAGAGGAAAATATGAAGCGGCGGGCTCTCAAGGACTTCTTATTCCTCTTAGATTGCCTTCATAATAACAACGACGGTGGCGGTAAAGTGAGTTTGGCTGTGTGGAAAACTCATGTTTCACCTCCCAACACACAATGAACTTTGGCGGGCTGGGAAAAATGCTAACCGCAAATTGCGGAAATGCCTGTCTGGGCCGTCTGCCTCTCTAATTGTCTGTACATAATTTAGGCAAACATTTTTAATTAAGTGCAATGCTCGACGCACAGCCAAGTACATGGCTTGGTTTTTAATTCCACCATTAATCTTGCAGGGCCATTGCGAGGTGTGCTCAAGCAATTAGGGTGAGTTCTAGACTTTCATCTTGAGCAACAAAAACTGTTGCCACTTTTTAAGGGTTCATTTTACTAACTTATTTTACTCTCGGTGGTTTTAAATGGTTATACTAACTAAATCTTCAGCTTGGCTCTGATACGGCTTTTTAATTCGGCTTTAAGCTTTTACGTTTTTTGCCTTATAAGCAGACAAAATCTTAAACAAAGTCGGTTAATTATAAAATTGGCCATATCTAAGGCATGAACTTGTTGAGTTACTTTTCCAAGAGAATGAAAACTTGCACACTTTGGAGCCATCGTGGTTTTCTTATCGCCACGTTTTTGTTTTTCTTGTCTGCGGCACTCGTAACTTTGCCGCAAAATTGCTTGTTTCCGGTTCCGCCTCCCCCTTAACCCTCAACAGACCCCAGCCGGGCGCCCACTGATAGATGCCATTATGACCTACACTTCTTGGGCATAAGTTTTCCCTCTTGGCCGACGACGTTGTCGAGGCTGAAGCTGCTGGCAGCAATTAAAGCCAATTATTCTGAAAGTAATTGTTTTAAGCAGATTTCTTGGGCGGTTCTTTGTTGTTTTATTTTTGTTTTTTCTTTTTTTTTTAATTGTTGGTGGGGATTGTGACCCTTGATCTTGTGATTTTCGGCGCTTATGGGATTTAAGCATCGTTTTGGGTTTGACATTTGAGTTTTGTGGGTCTTTAAAGCCATACTCATTTTCAATTTGCAATGCGAAAAGCTCGTTAAAATAATTTGTCACAGTATTCTGTTTAATTAAAAAGTTTCAAATGAATGTGCGATGCCATTAAATGATTCTCTCCAGCTTCTCTCACTAGTTTCTGTGTGTATTTCTGGATGCCTAAAAAACAATTAACCCAACTGCAATGCCATGAAATGCATGTTTGTTTGTATGCGCCTGAATTTGTATAGGAAACTCGAAAATGTTCATAGTGGGAAAATGGTTTGCAAAAAACGACATTGAGATGGAAAAAATGAAACAACATTTTAACATTGGTTTACATTTAATATTCCGATGTTTAAGCCTATTAACTGTGATTAAAAACGGGTTGAAGACATTATCGCATGCTCAATTTAGTTTAATTATTTACGCTTTTAATTCATTAAATTAAGTTTAAATTCATGTGGGAAAGTTTTTCAGACTCTTTTAAATTTATATAACCAATATAGTTATTATTGGAACAACATATTTTCTTGATAAACGTATGAAATGTTATTTAATTTTTTTTATATTTAGTTTTTATTAAAAAATGTTGCTTTGCAAAAGTTATTCTTTTAAAATTTTAATGATTTCTTATTTTTAATAATTTTAAAGTACGTTTTTCCTTTAAGAAACTCAATAACTTTTTTATTTCTATCTGTTTATAATTTTACTAAAATTAATTAAACATTATACAATAAAAATTTGTTAAAAAGTTAATAGGTTTTTAATTTACACCTAAATTTTCAAAAATATTTATTAAAATTTGTATGAAAATGTTTATTTTTATAAGATATAATTTTAAGTTATACCGGAGATAGTGTGGCTCCTCAGCCTTTTTGCGAATTGGTTTGTTATCATCCAATGTATGCATCTGCGAATGTGTGCAACTGCTTTTCTGCATGCACATTTCTCTACAATTTCATTTGCAAGCCTGAAAAAAAACAGGAACAAAAAATGTCCTATACAAAATTCGCAATAGCAATGTTGAATGTCTCTATGTGAGTGTATGGGTGCTGGTGTGTGGGTGAGTTGCACAATGAAATTTATTGTTGTAGTAGCAATTGTTGTAAGCTCTTTGCGTTTTGTATGTGTTTGTCACCCACAATGTCCGTCAGGGGCTTCATTGTTCAGCCACATAATTAATTGTCGTAGTTTTCGGGTGTTAAATAATTAGAAAACAAGTTTTTCAGTCATTAATCACTCGAAGTGCGCAGGAGAAAGGGGAAGGGCGGCCTCGGAGAATATCGTTGTCCCGAACTGTGGTTCAATTTAATGGCCGCAAATTCTTGCCACCGCACTAAGCCTCAAATTAACCTCAACACCCTATCAATGGTTGAGAGGAAATAACCTTTAATGCCCTTAAGCTCCAATTGTAACCCATTCTAAATCACAACATAATCCCATAATTTACATAAAACGAAGCCAAATCGCTGGGACAAGCATACAAAGAAGGTTGTGACCTACACTCACGCACACACACGCCAAATAAGGAATATAAAAAAATCTCAAAAAATAACTTCCCAAGATACCCAAACACACAAACACTCACAAACATCGGACTAACGCAATTTGCCACACTCAAATATCATTATGTCATAAATTGATGTTGAATCCTTGTTCATTTATGAAATTTTCCCATTTTATTGTGTGGCCCTGTGTCTGTGTGCCTGTATGTGTGAGCGCTTATAAAGTTCACAAGTTCGATTTTCCCCTCAAGTGATTCGAGGGCGAAATGGAAAACTGAGCGTGTGGGTGTGAACGAATTTAAGTTTTTATGAGTGCCATCAGCATCAGCATTATAGTCATTATTAGCATCATCATCATTATTCGATTGACCTTTCTAATTGCCAAGGTATCAAGTTTAAAGTGCGTTCGATGAGGGTGCAAGAAATGCAAATTTCCATGGCAAATGTCCTTTAAGCAGACAAAGAGATGATGCTAATGAAACGTCAATTATGTGCGACCGTTTACAAGTAGCAGAGGAGAATGCGAGAAAAGCTATTAATGGGTACAGACTAGGATATACCTATTATCGGTACATAAGTATATAACTTTAAAACTATTATTATATTACTAAGCTTAATTATTATTTAGCAAACGCGATTATACAAGGGAAAATATAAAAGAAATACTGCTAAATTGATAGTTTACTTTATACCGACCATATTAGCTGCACATACTCCTTGATCCTACGAATACCGGGTAAAAAATGAGCACGTGACCAACTTTGTAAACGCTTGAGGCATATCCAATTTAACCCTCAAATTGGTGCCATTATGACAGCATCAGCATCAGCATCAAAGGAGAGCAGAGTAGCATCAGTAGACCCGTTGAGTTATTAGCGAATCGTGATTGGCATAAATCAATGCAGCGGGGGATGCAGGGAATGCACCTGCCGCAGACACTTTGCCAACTCACTGGCCACTCTTTTAGTCTAATGGGCTTGAAGCCAGTGTAAAATTTATGACTGCCATCCGTCTGCCATCAGTGCCCGCGAAGGTTCTTGTCGATTGTCGATGACATTGTTACGCCGCTGCTGGAGCTGGAGCTGGTGCTCACCCGTAATCCCAGTTACATCAAGATGGATGCTACTGATGCGCCATTTATGCTGAAATCGAAAGCATATCGATCACATTAACATAAAATAAAGAAAAAATAATAAGGGAGAGGATTTTACTTTGGTGCATTGCAGATTTGATTTGCATAGAATGGATTGTTAAGAAATGCAAATGACTCGGTTGGAATAATTTAGTTAAATAGTTGATCTATTTATGTAGTTTCCACTCCTGCTGGCCCGCTGCTTTTCCCTGCTTTGTATGACAAAATGCTGGACAAAGGATTTAATTAGTTTTTCTTTCATTTGCCATTGGAGCGATGGTGTAATTGCTTTTGAACAGATATCACGACACGCGAGAACATTTCGTGCACGAAACTCGGGCAAAAGCCAAATTGAAAATTAGAGGAAACGCTGCTCCGGGAAAAACTGACGACAGGATATCATGGGGGCAAAGGCAGCAGTAGCACTACTAGCAAACGGGAGTAGGAACAGGAGCTGGGTGGGGAAGCCTTTTCTCTAATGAAATACTTGTGTCGTGTGCCTGTCGACATTATTAACAGCTTCCGAACTTTTGAATTTACGAACAGATCCGTAGAACCGGGCAAAAAAGGGAGCGAAAATGGATTAAAAACTGCAATCGCCAGACACTCAAAGAGAAAATGTGAAAAGTGTGCTAATTTCCATTGAGAGCAGCACTGGAGCAGCAGCGTCACAAAGGCAGCGCATAAAAAGTGTTTAATTCAAATGGTGCACTGCGCAAAAAAGGAGTTTTTATAAGTCAAAGGGGTGACATCGGACTTACTAGGACTTTGAAATCATTTATCTAGGTGTCAAAATGTGTGTTGCTTAAAGAAAGAACTTCCTCTTTTGAAATGAAATGAAATTCCGAATAAACTTTCTATGAAAGTTAAATATAAATGTACTTTG